CACACACAAACCTATATATATATATATATATGTATGTATGTATATGTATACGTACATGCAAACACATGCATATTTGTCGAGGTTCTGCTCTGACGAACCTTGACCGAAGCTGTTAAGGCAGAAAGTCTTTCCCATCATTTCGGTTAGCGCTGCGAAGCCTGTTAGTTCCTGAATCTTGCCAGATCGTACAGGAGTGAAAGGCCATGTGCCGACTTGCATATCAGTTGAGGCCCAAATCCGACACTGAGCCGAATGAACACCAAACTCCGAAGCCCTCAATCGTAGATCCGAAAGCAGGAACCTTCGATCGGTTTCGCAGGCTATTTCGGGACTTCGGAATTGTGAGGTCTGCCGGGACCTATTGTCGCTTTTGTCGTCTGGGCCAAATGTGCATCCTCCACAGCAATGGGTCCCAAGCATCCACCCTTGGTGCGCTTAATCTCATCCCCAAAGTGACGCCGCCTCCTGGCAACGTAACCGTCCGTCCCCGATGAAGAGAAGGTCACGTTGACGATTCAAGGGCCAGTGGAGCTGCAGCTGAGCTCGGCTACCTTAGACATTCAGGCCGCGAAGTGTTCAGTGGTTTGGTCTGAGGTAAACCCTTCACCCTAAACCCTAAACCCTAAACCGGAGATGGAACCAAACTACACGGGCAGAGGCCTCAGCAACTGGAGGGTTCATCACTGAACATGGAGGCCTGAGCTGCCAGTAACAACATCCCTTTGACTCTAGAAGCATAACACATCACAAACTTCAATTCGTCCCCTGAGTCCATATGACGTAGGGGTACTGTCACGGGTTCCCGTTTTGAACCCTAAACCCTAATTAATATAGAAGCCTGAACAATTACCATATTATTCTTAGGTTCCTTGTTATAATTATACTATAAAGGAGCCCAAAACCCTGTATTCTGATTATTAAGGCCCCTACATGGGTTTAGGGTTTAGGGTCGTTATAATTAAACTATAAAGGAGCCCAAAACACTACATTGGAATTATTAAGGCCCTTACATTACCCAGACCCCCAAACAGGATATAAAACATAGATCCCCTAATTAGGGACCCTGACTACTAAAGGGTACTTTATAGGAACCCCCTTAGGGGATCTATTTTTTGGATCCTTTTGGAGGTCTGGGTAGTTGTCAGATCCCCAACCCTAAACCCTAACCCTAAACCCTAAACCCTAAACCCTAAACCCTAAACCCTAAACCTTAAACCCTAAACCCTAAACCCTAAACCTTAACCGGTAGTTGTCAGATCCAGGCGCTGGGATGAAAGGACTTGGGTTCGTGGGCTCCGGGCCGGGCGCAGGTCGAAGAATTTTGGATTTCGGATTTGGGGTTTAGGGTTTAGGGCTTAGGGCTTAGGGTTTAGGGTTTAGGGCTTGGCGGCCGGCTCCAGGCGAAGTACGAAGCCTGTTGCGAAAAGGGCTTAGGGTTTAGGGTTTAGGGGTTTGTGTCTTTTTTTAGTTGTCTGGTGTAGGGGTGGGGGATTCGCATGGTAGGTTTTCGGGGCACATTATGCAGTTATGCAGTAAGTATGTTCAGGGGCCTAAGGAATCCTAACCCTTAAACCCTAAACCCAGAATTATTGAGGCCCCGTATTTTGGGCTTCGAAACATGCAAGTATCCGCAGATTAGGGTTTAGGGTTTAGGGTCTTATCCAGAAGAAGGGTAGGGCGGAAGACCGACCAGAAGTAAAGTTCGAACGTTGACAGGACAATGGATGTCGAATTCGAAGAGTATGCATCCCGACACGGGGATGAAGATTTGCCTTTACGCGGGCTTCAACAAGAGAGCACCGAAGAACCGTTAACCGCCAATCCTAGAGACCAAGCCCACATCTCAACTTCCACCCCCTCAACCGTTTGCCCCCCGAGAGCCTCCACCGGGACCCATATTTTTCTACTCCAAAGTTCGACTACTGTCTGGTGCTTAATAGGGAATGCGGGAATGGATCCTCATGATACTGTTGATGGACAAAATCCTGCATGACCTTATATACCTAAAGTATGGGATTTAGGATCAAAATCCTGCATGACCTTATATACCTAAAGTATGGGATTTAGGATACTATACTATATTTGGGTCATGCAGAATTTTGTCCATCAGCCGTAGTCCCTTAAGGTCCCTTATAGTAGTCCCCATAACCCATTCCCCCATTCCCTACTAAGCACCAGACAGACTAACGGAAGGAGATTCCAGAAATCGGCTTCGAGTTTGCGGCTCCTTCATGGGCTTTGCGGTTTAGGGTTTAGGGTTTAGGGTTTAGGGTTTAGGGTTTAGGGTATTCCCTATGCCAACTTAAACTCTAAACTCGGAACACCGAAACCTAACTAAAACTAAGCCTCAAAACTTAGAGGGTCCGAGTACCCCAATAGTAAGGTTTTTGGTTTCAAAATCCATACTCTGAAAGGTTTTTGGACGTTGAAACCCTACTATTGGGGTCTTTGGACCCCTAGGGACAGAAAGCCCTATACACCCTCAAAGAAAACGTGTAAGGTTCCGGACTCTAATTGTCGAGGCCCCTACGTTGCTCCAGTTACTACGTCCTTTCATCCTGCAAAGAGGCCACGACGAATTTCACATCCTCGGCCTCCGTCACGATTTCCAACTCAGGCTGGTCAGAAGTCCTCCCTAAACCCGAAACCCTAAAACCCGAAACCCTAAAAACCCTAAAGCCCTAAACCCTAAAGCCCTAAAGCCCTGAAACCCTAAAGCCCTAAACTCTAAACCCTTTTAGAAAGAGCCTTCGAGGTGGATGGGTGCAGGGTCCAGATTTGTTGGGAGCAGATAGGGTTGAGGGCCCACAAGGGGATAGATGAATAGCTCCGGCTTAGGGTTTAGGCTTAGGGTTTAGGGTTTGGGGAACAGATACGGTTGATGAT